AACCTTTCCATCTGAACCCTGAATTGTTGCAATGATTCGACCCATTGGCCACTTAAACGGTGCAGTGTTATCTTCACGCAAAAGAACTAAGTCTTTGGGTTGCAAATTTGGAATTGAAGCTCTCCACTTTTTTCGCTGCTGTAGTTCCAGCAAGTAGCGTTTGCTCCATTGGGCCCAAAACTGTTGCTGAATCCATTGCAACAATTGGTACCTTTTTAATGTTCCTACATTCGACGACCATGGCGATGGTTCGGGTATAATGGTGAGTGATCTGCCAATGAGAAAGTGTGCCGGTGTTAGTGACCGAAGGTCATCGGGTGAGGCCGACATAGGAGTTAATGGTCGACTATTTATCATGGCCTCGGCTTGGCAGCAGATAGTATGCAATTCATCGAAGGTGAGTATGTATTTCCCGACGGCTCTTCGAAGGTAGTATTTTGCCTGCTCCTCCCATAGCCCACCGATGTGTGGGGATCTGGGTGAAATGAATTTCCATGTAATACCCTCTTCAGTACAATAGGTTTGCACCATGTCACGATGGGCTTGAGACTTGAAATCTTGCAAAAGTTCGCGTAGCTCTCGGTTTGCTCCAACGAAATTGGTGGCATTATCCGAATAGATGACTCGGCCTTTGCCCCGACGAGAGAAGAATCTCTTTAACGCAGTGATGAACGATGCTGACGTTAAATCAGGAACCAGTTATAGGTGAGTGGCTTTTGTGCAAAAACATAAAACTACGGCTATGTATGCTTTAACAGCAGGCCTCCCTCGAATTTGCTCTTTAATAAGCAGGGGCCCATAATAGTCCACTCCAGTTTTTTCAAACGGAAATGACTTGTTCACTCTGTTTCGAGGCAATGACCCCATCAGTTGTTCTGCAAGGATTGGATGAAATCGATAACAGGATATGCACTTGTGGATCACCTGCTTAACTGTGTTTCGAGCGTTTACAATCCAGAATTTTCTCTGATAATGCTAAGCAAAGTTTGGTAACCTGCATGTAAATGTTGTCGATGAAGGTGGGCGATAAGTGTACTGGCAAAATGATTTGATGTTTTTCATCGAACGTAGGTGAGGAGTTTTCGAGCCGGCCTCCGACTCTGATAACACCCTCGTGTAAAAAGGCCGATAACGGCAACAGCGATGAATTGCGATGTAACGGGCGACCTGCCTGAATATTTTTGATGTCATCGAAGAACGAGTGTGCTTGAATAATGCAACTCGGCAACAGATATGCAGTTGGTGTGGTGACTTGTGCTCCTACGAGCAACATCGACGAATTTCTGTACATACCAAAACGTCCGAAGAAGTTTGTTGTAGTTGTTGATGAATTTATGTTCGGCAATGATGTCCTTGGGTATCTTGGCCAACAAAATGGCATGGGCTTTACGTTGTTCTGGTATATCGACGATGGTGGCTGGCACCTGTGGCCAGTATTGATGCTCGAGAAGAATGAAACTTGGGCCTTCAAACCATACCTTGTTGTTTAGTAGTTGCTCGGGTGAAGCGCCTCTGGATAATATATCTGCAGGGTTCAGTTCACCAGGAATGTGATGGCATTTGAAAAGAACTGTGAGCGATGGAATTTTGCTAACTCTGTTTCTTACAAATTTTGTCCATTTTGACGGCTCTCCATTTATCCATGCTAGCGTAATCATGGAATCTGTCCAGCAGTGAACATTTGCAGGATTCGGTTGGAGTAGGTTGCAGACAGTATTCAGCAATTCAGACAAAAGCAGAGCAGCGCAGAGTTCTAGTCGAGGCAGGCTGATTTCTTTGGTAGGCGCCACACGTGACTTTGCACATAGCAGCTTTGACTGACTTCCAACCGTCTGCGAAACTACATAAATACAGGCTCCATATGCTTTGGTGCTGGCATCTGCGAATGCATGGCCATACGAATTCGATTCAAAGGCTACTAACCTGGGCACGCGAAATTGTTCCACAAGTGGGAGTTGAGTACAAAACGATTCCCATTGAGTATGTATGCAAAGGGGAGCACTCCCGTCCCAGTTGAGGTGAAGTTTCCAAAGATGCTGCATCATGATTTTGCAAGTAACGACGAGAGGGTTCAAGATCGCCACTGGATCGAAGGACCTGGCTATGTGAGACAAAATGCTTCTCTTGTTCACTTTCGACGACTTTGGTGGTTGCGAATATTGAAATATTAAACAGTCTGCAAAGGGAGACCACCTTGATCCCAATGACTTAATGTAGTCGACATCCTCGAGTTGAATGATTTCTTCAACATCTTTCTCTGGAACATCGGCTATGATGCGCATGTCATTCGATGCAAATTTCCGCAATGGAAATCATCCGCTGCTTAGCACCTCGGTAACTTGGCGTTTGATTTCGATTACCTCATCGACTGTCGCTGCTCCGGTCATTAAATTATCGACATAAAAACCTCTTCGAATTACCGAGGCACCTGTTGGATACGAAGACTCATTTTCTCGAGCTAATTGCTGAAGGAATTTAGGGGTTAGGTACGAAGCGCATGCGGTACCATAAGTCACTGTTTGCAGCTGTATGCGTTTATCTGATGGCTTTTAGTATCACGCCATAATATGCACTGCCACTTGGCGTCCTCTTTGTCGACCATGATTTGCTTATACATTTTGGCAATGTTGGCTATCAAAACAAAGGAATGTACTCGAAATCTGACGAGAATCGAAAATATGTCTTCTTGAATGGTGGCGCCGACACGAAGAACATCATTCAATGACTTGCCGTTCGATGTTCGGCAAGAGGCATCGAAAACAACCCGCAGTTTGGTTGTTGTGCTGCCCAACTTAGTCACTGCATGGTGAGGTATGTAATTGGTTGATGTGCTCATGCGAGGGAGTCGGACCATATGATTGAGTTGCATATACTCATTCATGAAGTTAGTATACTCATTTCGCAGAGTGTCATTACGACGAAGCTTCGCCTCGATGTATGAGAGTCGTTTGAGCGATATTTCATACGAGCTACCCAATGATTGCAGTGGTTCCTTGGACGGTAGGCGCACTATGAATTTGTTAGTATTAGAGCACCGCTTAATTGTTTCAGCGAAGTACCTCGGACGTAAGGGTTGACCGCTCTGCGCAAGGTTGCTCAACGTGCCAAAAATCTCTCTAGAATGTAGTCCAATGACGGTTCTAACCAGAGCGATGAGTCTTTGAGTTGACTACCCGATAGCTGTGATGAAGAGGTGCTTGACAACAAGCAATCAGTGCTTACAGATGTATGATACGATAAAGAAATCGAAGGAAGGGCTAGCAACGGGTGACCGGTGAGAGTTCCTGCAACGACCCAGCAAAGCTTAGTTTTTTGGAGAATTGGCAGTTTGTTGCTTATTTTGATTTGTCCCACCAGAAGTAGATCATAAAACACACTTGCTCCTAGTAACAAATCTACCGGACCTGGTTTGTTAAATGTGGGATCTGTCAAGGTGATATTTTTTGGAATGTTCCACTTGCTAATATCTAATGTACTACGTGGCTGATGCGAAGTTATGTTATGCATGATGACCGTATCATTAGTCGAAGAGAATGCCGTGTGGTTTGCATTTATCTCTACTTTACACAAGTAGTGAGCCTTACTCCCGCATAAGCCTATGCCACTAATTGCAATGGGAACCCTTTTACGTTTAATTCGAAGTAACTGTGCTAAGCGTTCGGTAATAAAATGTAATTGTGATGCTGAGACAAGAAGTGCACGCGCAGTTATTGACACGCCTGCAGACGTCTGGATTTGCACTAGTGCGGTAGCAAGCACTACTTGCTTTCTGTTATCGGATACTTGCAGCGCAGCTTGTGTTGCTGGGGAGGGCTGAGCTGTGGGTGCCGAAGGTGATATTGATCATGATGTCGGCAAAAGGGTGTTGGATTGAGTCCGATGCAGGAGAGTGTGATGACTAACTCGACAAACCAGGCAGCGGTGAACTGATGGACATTCCTTTGATTGATTATTAGCGCCTAAGCAGTTTAAACAAAGTTTTTTCTTCTTGGCTAAGTCGTATCTCTGCGCTGGCGTCAATTTCACAAACGATGGATATTTGAAGGCATTGAGGCAAGTGGTACCTTCACATAAATTGCATCTTTGTTGATTTGTGGCAACAAACGATAGTTGCTTTGCTGTTTGGCGCACCATTCACGGTGATGACAATGATGATAGCGATGACGAAGACGGACCTGGAGGCCGCTGTGATGATTTTG